TGTTCTTGATGATTATATGGAATTCTTGATGATTATGTGTTGTTCTTGATAATTGTGTGATGCTCTTGATGGTTATGTGTTATTCTTACCGAATCTTGTAATTTGAAGACGAATCGTACCCTTGTTGATATAAAAGTGATTAGAACCCCAGGTTGTATCATATGTTATGATTCTTGGATTGTGGGGTGGGGAAATCGCATGTTTGGGTGTTGATTATGTCTAGAAAAGCATGATAGGTTATGTGCCGTTCGTTTCTCGCATTTGATCCGTTAATTGTCTACGTGTTGTCGTTAATTGCGTTGTAAGGTGTCTAAGCATGGTTTCGGGTTCCACAATGGTTCCCGGGGCACAAAAGTGATGAAAAGAGTCAGTGGGGGGTAGGTGGGGGGGTAGGGGACCCGCCACCTACCCACGGCCGTGAAACACCGCCCGGCAGCGGGTAGCCGGCGGCGGCAGCTGCCCGCCGGCGACCCGCTGCCCGGAACAGTACTTTCCGGCGGGCAACCGGCGGGTGGCCCCCACCCACCGGCTACCCGCTGGAAATTCCCCCACCTTGGGTTCCCGGCTTCCCCGTTTGATGTTCCCCTGTTCCCCGTGGTGTCCCAACGGACTCCGTTTATCGTGCCTGTGTCTAGTTTGATGTTTCGGGTACCGTTCGTAGGTTTATGAGTCTATTATATTGCATGCTAGTTGAATTGGTATCCCGTTGACCTAGGTGGAAGAAGTATGAACCCCTTAGGACTATTCTTAGTATGTGATGGATCACGCATAGGTTTTGTTATGCGCTTTCTCCCCCTTCCCAATGTGTAATATGGGTTGCACGTGCTTGCTATGTGTTATGTGTGTGTGTTACCCCAATTCGGTTGCGATCGGATTGGTTATCCTGAGCTGCGGTTCAGAAGCTGGCTGCGGTCAGATTGATACTCTTGGGCTGCGGTCCACCGTTTGGTTGCGATCAAACGTTTCTATACGAGCTGCGGTTCGTCCTTTTTCCTGGCTGCGGTCAGATGACATTCTCTTGGGCTGCGGTCCACTGTTTGGTTGCGATCAAACACTATGATGAGCTGCGGTTCATCGGTCGGTTGCGATCGACCCCTCCGTGTTGCGATACGGGGCAGGGTGCTGCGGGGCCGTGTCAGAGCTATATGCGCTGACCCTCATGTATGGGCATGCGATTGGTCCTGTGGCGCCAACAAAGTGTGTTATGTGTTGTGACATGGACGAGTTGTGATTACGAGTGTCTTGGGGGATGTGACTATGGGATTTATATTGGGGATTGTTCATGTTGGGTTATGATCATTGTTTATGCTTTGCCTTATCTGCCTTATCTATTGTGAACTGCATATGCTTGTTATAACTGTTGATTGTGTCTAGCCTTATCTGTCGAGTCATTCCCGGTTTTATAGCTAGAGTTCGTAGGATATATCTTCATGCTCAAAATGGTTTTCGTATATCTATATATACCTCTATATGTATTGTATTTCAACGCGTTGGAGTGGGTTACCAGCATCTCTCGCTGAACAGATATATTTGGCTTTCAGGCATAGAAGACTAAGTCACTAGAGCGCGCTAGAACTTGGAGTATAGAAGTAGATAGTTTTCCTTTTGGCCTGCGTGCCACATTTCCGTAATTACGCTTTGAGGATATTAGTTAGTTAGCCTGTGCACTTGGGTTCTCTAGCCCAGGTGTGGCATAGCACCCTGTACGCTTGTATTTATTTCTTGGGATTCAATGAGATTTCTACCATATTATAAGTTTAAAAAGTCTTGAAAATCTGGGGTGTTACAGAAAGAATGGATTAACACACCGGGCTTCGGGAACGAAACCCCTCGTAAGGGGGGGAGAGTGTAACACCCCGTGTTACGATCCCTAAAACCAATTAATCATTTAACAAACTACCCAAAAGAAAGAATTAAATCACAATAATTAATTAGGGAAGGCCCACCATAGTCCATGGGCCCTTATCCCTAAACCCTACCCTTAGTCCCAAAAGGAATAGAATTAGCAAGCCTATAATATTAGTTCATAATTAGGACTCCTAAATGTATAAATAAGGGACTTAAGAGGCACCTAGAACCCCCCACCACAATAAACGACTCACCACCCCAAAGAGCTCCAAGAATTCCATTAGAAGAAATCAAGAAAGCAAGAAAGCTTAAAGAAAGACCCTTCATAGCCAAGTAATTACTTAAGGCTAAGAGGTAACCCATGTCTCAACAAAATCTATTTTCATAGCTATGATTTCCGCCGTAGGATTTCCCCATATTATTGTGTATTGATGATTTGTGATATTATTATTGATGATTGATGGGATAATTCCATGGGTGATCTTGATGATGAAAGGTTCTTGATAATTATGGTGTTCTTGATGATTATATGACGTTCTTGATGATTATATGATGTTCTTGATGATTGTAGGATGTTCTTGATGTTTATCTGATATTCTTACCGAATCTTGATATTGGAAGATGAATTGTGTCCTTGTTGATTTAAAAACGATTAGAACCCTAGGTTGTATCGTATGGAATTACTCTGGGTACATTGGGTTGGAATTCGCATGATTGGGTGTTGATTATGTTTAGAAAAGCATGATAGGTTATGTGCCATATATTTCTCGACCTTTGACCCGTTAATTGTGTACGTGTGTTTTCAATGGCGTTTGAAAGTGTCTAAGCATGGTTTCGGGTTCCACAAAGGTTCCCGGGGCATTTTTGGTGAAAAAGAGTCATTGGGGGGTAGGGGACCCGCCACCTACCCGCGGCCTTCTTGGGCAACGCCGGCAGCTACCCGTCGGGCACCCGCTGCCCGGTTTAGCTACCGCCGGCGGGTGATGTAACACCCCAGATTTTCAGGATATTTAAAACTTATAAAATAAAGGTGAAATCTCATTAAATCTCAAAACATAATACGAGAGTATGGGGTGCTATGCCACACCTGAGCTAGAGAACCCAGGTGCACAGGCTAACTAACTACTATCCTCAAATAGTATCAATATTAAATCATGGCACGCAGGCCGAAAGGGGAAAAACTATCTAAGCTACGTCCAAGCTTCTAGCGCACTCTAGTGATCTACTCGTCTGTGCCTGAAAGCCAAATATATCTTATATATTGCATCTCTCGCTGAACAGATATATTTGGCTTCCAGGCACAGACGAGTAGATCACTGGAGCGCGCTAGCAGCTTGGGGCGTAGCTTAGATAGTTTTCCCTTTCGGTCTGCGTGCCATCATTTAGTATTGATACTGATTGAGGTTTTAGAATTTAGCCTGTGCACACGAGTTCTCTGGCTCGGGTGTGGCATAGCACCCCGTACTCTTGTATCGTATTTTGGGATTTAATGAGATTCTGTCTTTATTATATAAGTTTTAAAAGTCTTGAAAATCTGGGGTGTTACAGGGGAACTCCAGCCCTATATAATATTTATATACCTGACCGATCGCAACCGGCCTGGTTAATAGTAAGTATGGTTCTCAACCCATCCAACTGCCCGTATAGCCAATTTGATCGCAACCAAATTGGGGTGTCATGCACACATAACACATAGAAAGCACGTGCAACCCGCATTAACACATTGGGAAGAGGGAGAAAACGTATAATAAAACCTATGCGTGATCCTTCACATACTAAGAACAATCCTAAGGGGTTCATATTTCTTTCACCTAGGTCAACGGGATACCAATTCAACTAGCATGCAATATATAAGACCCATACAACCTACGAACGGTACCCGAAATATCAAACTAGACATAGGCACGACAGGCGGAGTCCGTTGGGACACCACGGGGGTCGGGGGAACATCAAACGGGGAATCCAAAATCCCAAGGCGGGGTACAAACCAGCGGGTAGCCAGTGGGTGAGGGGTCACCCGCCGGCGGCACTGTTCCGGGCAGCGGGTGCCCGGTGGGCAGCTGCCCGCCCGCCGGCTGCCCGCTGCCGGCGAGACCTCTTTTGGCCGTGGGTAGGTGGCGGGTCCCCTACCCCCTCCTACCCCCCACTGACTCTTTTTCACCAAAAACGCCCCGGGAACCTTTGTGGAACCCGAAACCATGCTTAGACACTTTCAAACGCAATTGATAACACACGTAGACAATTAACGGATCAAAATCAAGAAACATACGACACATAACCTATCATGCTTTTCTAAACATAATCAACACCCAATCATGCGAATTCCCACCCAATATACCAAGAATAATACCATACGAATTCCACGATATAACCTAGGGTTCTAATTATTTTTAAATCAACAAGAACACAATTCATCTTCTAAAATCAAGATTCGGTAGGAATATCATATAAATATTAAGAACATCATATAATCGTTAAGAACATCAAGAACACCATATAATCATCAAGAACCTCTTATCATCAAGATTACCCATGGAATCATAGCACCAATTATCAAGATCATTATAACGAATCATCAACACACAAAGATATGGGGGAAATCCTAAGAGGGGAATCATAGCTATGAAAATAGGTTTTGTTGAGACATGGGTTACGTCTTAGCCTTAATTAATTCCTTGGCTATGAAGGGTCTTTCTTTGAGCTTTCTTCTTTCTTCATTTCTCCTAGGGGAATTCTTGGAATTCTTGGTGTGGTGAGAGATTATTGTGGTGGGAGTTCTAGGTGCCTCCTTATGTTCCCTATTTATATATCTAAGAGTCTTACTTAGGGCCTAATTACTATAGGTTTTCTAACTCTATTCCTTTTAGGACAAAGGATTGGGTTTAGGGATAAGGGCCCATGGACTATGGTGGGCCTTTCCTAATTAATTATTGTGATTTAATTCTTTCTTTTGGGTAATTGGTTAAATGATTAACTGGTTTTTGGGATCGTAACACGGGGTGTTACATAACCCAAATGCACCAAGGAACCATCCTGGTTTCTCTTGGAGTAATCCAGCTGGGGCAGCTAATCCCCAACACTTGGGTCATAGAGTTCAACCACCAGGATTTCAGGAAGAACAGAGTTTTAGATGGGGTCCTCCACAACAGTTCATGCAAAATCAAGGATATCAAGCTCTAGTAAATCAGCCTAAGCAAGCCTTGCCTAATGTGGAAGCACCGGCCTCGTCAAATTTGGAAGCTTTGATGGAAAAATTGCTTAAGGCTCATATACAGCTTACAGAGAGGGTGGATCAAATAAGTGCCCACAATAAGATGTTAGAAAATCAGTTAGCAAATCAAGCTTCTACCTCCAGTACTAAAGTCACGGGGAAGTTGCCTGCTTCCACCGAAAATCCAAGAGAACACATGAATGCCATCACTACTAGGAGTGGAAAGCAACTACTGGATCCTCCGTATCCCAACAGTGAACAATTTGTCAAGAAGAATCTGGAAGCTGAGAATGAGAAAGTGAATGAAGATGTTATTGCCCAAGACAAGGAAGATGAGATACAGGAAATTGAGCCCGTGAAGAAGCATGTAACACCCCCATTTTCCAAAACCAGAATCTGAGAAAATTTTAATTTTTTTTTCCTTTTATTTAATTACAACACATTGTTTAAATTGCGGAAGCTAAAACAAAACGAGAGAATAGGGGTTGCTACCGCCACGTTCAGGTATTCCTCTTACACCCAAACGCTAAGGCTAAAAACAATTAATTAACTAAAACAACTCAATATTATGAACTAGTACATCAACAACTAACAATTCAACTGTCTAACTAATAAATGATATCTCTAGCTGGTTCACTCATTCTCATGCCCAATGCTCATGCCAGAGTTCCTGCAACAACAATTAAAGAATAGAAAACAAAGAAACACACAAATTCAGCATTAAGCTTGTAAGATCTACTTCACCTCGTAAAACATTTTGCACATAGCATGTAGCACATAGGAGAAAATAGTTTGCATCTAGAATGACCCCTTAAATATTTTTATTCTCATCAATAATACCAAATCAATATTTCTCACAATAGGAATTTCAGGAACCTTTCAAACGTAATTTATTTTTCTCCAACATGGAGGAACACCAATTTCAACATAATGGGCAGGGTCTTGTTTCATCAAGCTCTAGTGAACAGTAATCACCATACTGAACACTACACAAAATCCCATTCAATCTCAAATAATGGGCAGAGTCTTAATTATTTAAGCCCTAGTGAACAGTAATAACTTTACTGAACACTACGCAGAAATCCCATTTAAACCAACCAAATATTGGGCAGGGCCTTATTCAATAAGCCCCAGTGAACAGTACTCACTCTACTGAACACTACGCAAAAATCCCATTTAAGTGGAATAGAACTAATACCTTAAGTGTGCACACCCCCAATGGGTTTCTAAGCCCAATAGGTAGTAACTAGTCCTAGTAGCCAGGATACGTTTCTACTGACTACTACTCAACAGGGTAAATACCCTAGTGGTAGATTCCGCTAACCACCCCTCAAAATACAACAGGACTAAAAGTCCTAGTGAGACAGGATATGTTTTCACTGCTCACTCCTCAAAACAACAGAGAGTTTTTAAGCTCCCTAGTGAGTCGGTATATTCAACCGCTCACTCCACAACAAACTGGGTCATAACCCAAGTATCCAGAATTCACAACAGGATACTACACAAGTCAACAAAACCTTTTTAGACTCCGTATTTATAAAAATGATAACACTAGTGATATTTCAACATTTTGCACATAGCATGTAACATGTAGGAGCATGTAATTGCACATACAATAACCCCTTAAACATTTTACCATCTCATCAATATCAATAATCTTTAACTTTAACCATTTAAAATGTAAATGTTGAGAAAATCACACATTCAAGTCCATAAAACAAAATATCCACAAAAACTTCTAGATGGTCAACTAAGGCATTGCCTATCCATAATCCCAAAATCATTCAACCATTATTTTTTCCTCAAAATTCTTTATATAACCTTTACCCCAACATTTCCATATAACCATCTCCTCAATACATTTCATAACATCATCACTACTCTGAATTTCTTCAAATCATAATATCAACACCAAAATAGTTTCCAATAACAACTAAATAGAGTTTCCAAACTCTCAAAATAATAACCAAAGAGAGAATTTCAATCTCTCAACATAATCTCAAAATATTAATACCAAAGAGAGAATTCCAATCTCTCAATTTATCTCTTTCCAAGAGAACGTCTTCCAATAATATATTTAAATTTCTCAAAATCAATCACACTTGATATATATAAATTGCCAAGAAGAAATGGGTACCAAATGGAGGATTTTCAAATTCTCAAAAAATAGATTTTCATAAACAGGGAGTTTTCACGGCTCCCTAGTGAGTCAGCTTTTACATCACTGCTCACTCCTCAAAACAACAGGGAAGTTAATATAAAACCCCCTTGTGAGTCAGTATATCTCAACTGCTCACTCCACAAAATAGAGAGTTTTTAGGCTCCCTAGTGAGTCGGTATATTCCAACCGCTCACTTCACAAAAACACCAGATGGCACCACTTTCCATTGACAAAATATATATATATCTAAAACCTCAAAAGTTCACCACTTAAAGAAAAATCTTTCCACCCAAATAATACTTTCAACTTTACACCTGAATCTATAACCTTTGTACCAATATTTCCAAAAATGTATTTCCAAACATCCTATTAACCTCATAGATATACCACAGATTAGCGTATTCCACACCTAATTATTATGAACACAACTGTCCATATTTGTAAAAATGATAACAGTAGTGATATTTCATAAGCAAGCAACTTCTCAATATCTTAAATAAGAAACTGACAAAAATTTTCAGAAACTATGACCTGAATTGCAGAATTTACTGAGAAATATCGGTAACGTATTTTCATATGAAAATATTCCAGATAAGTAGTAAAAAGAGTCTAGAATACACAAAAAAAAAAGTTTCAAGCCAATCCAAGGCCTAGAAGTATTTTTCCCGAAATTATTCTCAACACAGCGCCAGACTGTAATTTAACTGGCAGAACACTGCCTTAACTTTACGAAATTATTCTGGAAAAATCTAAACATATTTTTAACCAAAACTTTTTATAAACATCAAATATAACAAGTCTAGGTTCTCCATAAAAACTTTCAAACAAAAAGAAGTTTAGGAAGAAATTTTCACGAATTTTTCTTTCCAGCTGCGCCAGTCAGAATTTTCTCAGGCAATGATCAAATTGTGTAAAATTTATCCTTCTTAATCACCACAAAATCACCATATTACATATGCAGGGTTTTCAAAAAATCTAAACACATATATCTATTCGCATAATATAATCAAATAACTTTTCACGTTAAATATCACATATTCATTAAAATCGTGAATCACATAAACACATAGGAAAAGTGATTTTTGATTTGGGGCAAAAGAAATTTTAGTGAACATAAATCTTACCCGGATTTCAACATTAACATTAACACTTGAATCCCTATGGTGAACAAAGGAGAGAATTTGATGATAATAGAGGAACAAGACCAATCATGATTGAATCAATGACAAAGAGGAATAAGTTTTTGTTTTTTTGTCTTTCCTTTCTATTCGGCGGTATTGTGTCAGCAAAAAGAGAGGACTTTATGAATTAGCTACTGATGAGGATGGGAACAATTAGACTACTACTTAAATACTTAACTAATAACTTATATTATAAATAATAATTCTAGTTGTAGGGAACTAAAATACTTAAAAGCTTAATATAATATTAATATACATATTAGCCTACTAGTACTTAACATATACACATACGTAACATATATATAAATAAATAATTATTAGCTATAATACACAGTTTAAAAATAAAAGAGTAGCAGTAGTAGACTAGTTTAAATAGTTTTGAGTCACATAAAATAATATAATTACAGACCATATAGTAAAAATGTTTTATGTAACATAATATCTATTTTATAAAATTTTATTTAGAACAATAATATTTATAACAAAATACTCAAATAACCGGGGTATCACAATCTATCCTCCTTAAAGATGATTCGTCCCCGAAGCATAACCATAGGGAAATACCGGGTATTACAAAGCATACACCACCTCTACCCTTCCCACAAAAATTCAAGAAATCTAAGGTAGAGGAAAGGAGGGAAAAATTTTTAAGTTTGATCAAGCAACTGGATATCTCCATTCCTTTTCTTGATGCAATCACTGAGGTCCCCCCGTATGCTAAGTTTTTGAAAGAAATTCTATCTAACAAGAGGAGATCTGAAGATCGTGAGACAGTAGCAGTAAGTGAAGAATGCAGTGCCTTAATTCAAAACAAGCTTCTTCCAAAGCTTAGGGATCCTGGGAGTTTCTCTATCCCTTGTGTTATTGGAGGATCCCTTGTTGAGAGAGCCTTATGTGATTTATGGGCAAGTGTGACTTTAATGCCCTATTCTTTGTGCCAAAAGCTGTAACTTGGAGAGCCAAAACCTACATCCATGACTCTTCAATTGGCAGACAGATTAGTGAAGTATCCTATCGGAATCCTTGAAGATGTGCCAGTAAAGATTGACAAATTCTACATTCTAGGAGACTTCATGGTGTTAGAGATGGAAGAAGATGCTAAGGTTCCTATTATCCTTGGGAGGCCGTTGGCAACTGCTGGAGCAGTGATTAATTTCAAAAAGGGAACTTTAGTGCTTGAAATTGGAGATGATAAAGGTGAATTTAATGTTTTTGAATTAGCTAACAATTCTTCTAGTCTTGATGCTTGCTTTTATGTAGATGAAATTGACTCATGGGTTGGAGCTCATGAGATGGGTAAATGGATCTCCAATGATCCTTTACAACTAGAAAGTGAAGACATGATAGAGAGTAGTCACTTGGATAATGGCACGAGTGGTGGTGAATCACAAGAAACACCACTAGTGTCTATTGCTTGTAGCCTTGAGGAAAAGAAACCACCACAGGTAGAATTAAAACCTTTACCAACAAATTTGAGGTATGCTTATCTTGGTCCAAATTCTACCTTCCTAGTGATTGTAAGTGCTCAATTGAAAAATGATGAAACTGAGAAATTGTTAAATGTGTTGAGAAAACATAAGAAAATCATTGGGTACACTATTGATGATATTGTTGGAATTAGTGTCTCTTACTGCATGCACAGGATTAATCTAGAGGATGGGCACAGGCCCAGTGTTGAGCACCAACGTAGGTTGAACCCTACGATGCAGGAGGTTGTGAAGAAAGAGATCCTAAAATTGTTGAACGCTGGCATCATTTACCCTGTTCCTGACTGCAAGTGGGTCAGTCATATTCATGTGGTTCCAAAGAAAGGGGGGACAACTGTGGTCTGCAATGAGAAGAATGAGCTTATTCCTACCAGGTTAATCACTGGGTAGAGGATGTGTAATGATTACAGAAAGTTGAACAATGCCACCACGAAGGACCATTTTTGTAACACCACGTGTTACGATCCCTAAAAATCAATTAAATCATTTAATCAATTACCCAAAAGAAAGAATTGAATCACAATAATTAATTAGGAAAGGCCCACCATAGTCCACGGGCCCTTATCCCTAAACCCAATCCTTAGTTCGAAAAGGAATAGAATTAGCAAGCCTATAATATTAGTTCTTAACTAAGACTCCTAAATATATAAATAGGGGGCTTAAGGGGCACCTAGAAACCCCCCACCACAATAAACGTTCCACCACCTCAAAGAGCTCCAAGAATCCCCTTTGAAGAAATCAAGAAAGCAAGAAAGCTTAAAGAAAGACCCTTCATAGCCAAGGAATTAATTAAGGCTAAGAGGTAACCCTTGTCTCAACAAAACCAATTTTCATAGCTATGATTCCCCTCTTAGGATTTCCCCATATTATTGTGTATTGATGATTTGTGTTATTATTGATGATTGATGGGATAATTCCATGGGTGATCTTGATGATGAAAGGTTCCTGATAATTATGGTGTTCTTGGTGATTATATGACATTCTTTATGATTATATGATGTTCTTGATGATTGTAGGATGTTCCTGATGTTTATATAATATTCTTACCGAATCTTGATATTAGAAGATGAATCGTGACCTTGTTGATTTAAAATTGATTAGAACCCTAGGTTGTATCGTATGGAGTTATTCTTGGTATATTGGGTGGGAATTCGCATGATTGGGTGTTTATTATGTTTAGAAAAGCATGATAGGTTATGTGCTGTTTGTTTCCTGATTTTGATCCGTTAATTGTCTGCGTGTGTTATCAATTGCGTTTGAAAGTATCTAAGCATGGTTTCGGGTTCCACAAAGGTTCCCAGGGCGTTTTTTTGATTAAAAGAGTCAGTGGGGGGGTAGGTGGGGGTAGGGGACCCGCCACCTACCCGCGGCCTCCTTGGGCAACGCCGGCGGGCGGGCAGCTGCCTGCCGGGCACCCGCTGTCCGGAATGGCTACCGCCGGCGGGTGAACCCTCACCCACCGGTTACCCGCTGGTTTGCACCCCAATTGGGGATTTTGGCTTCCCCGTTTGATGTTCCCCCGACCCCCGTGGTGTCCCAACGGACTCCGTCTATCGTGCCTATGTCCAGTTGATTTTCGGGTACCATTCGTAGGTCGTATGAATCTTATATATATTGCATGCTAGTTGAATTGGTATCCCGTTGACCTAGGTGAAGGAGGTATGAACTCTTAGGACTATTCTTAGTATGTGAAGGATCACGCATAGGTTTTGTTATACGTTTTCTCCCCCTTCCCAATGTGTTAATGTGGGTTGCATGTGCTTGCTATGTGTTATGTGTGCATGTTACCCCGAGTTGGTTGTGATCAATCGGGCTATACGGGCAGTCGGGTGGGTTGAGAACCATACCGGCTGTTAACCAGGCTGGTAGAGACCGGTCAGGTATATAAATATTATATAGGACTAAGATCCACTATACGGGCAGTGGAATGGGTTGAGAACCATCCCAACTGTTAACCAGGCCGGTAGAGACCGGTCAGGTATATAAATATTATATAGGACAGAGGTCCACTATACGGGCAGTTGAATGGGTTGAGAACCATTCGAACTGTTAACCAGGCTGGTAGAGACCGGTCAGGTATATAAATATTATATAGAGCTGCGACTCATCGGTCGGTTGCGATCGACCCCTCCGTGCTGTGAGACGGGGCAGGGTGCTGCGGGGCCGTGTCAGAGCTATATGCGCTGACCCTCATGTATGGGCATGCGATTGGTCCTGTGGCGCCAACAAAGTGTGCTATGTGATGAAGTATGGATGAGTTGTTGTTATGAGTATCTTGGGGATGAGACTGTGAGATTTATACCGGGGATTGTATATGTTGGGTTATGATCATTAATTGTGCTCATCTTATCTGTCTTGCCTGTTGTAAACTGTATATGCTCGGTATAACTGCTGTCTGTGCTTAGCCCTATCTGTTGAGTCTATCCCTGTTTTAAAAGCTAGAGTTCGTAGGAGATATCCTCATGTAATATATATATATATATATATATATATATATATATATATATATATATATATATATATATATATATATGTATGTATTGTATTTCAACGCGTTGGAGTGGGTTACCAGCATCTCTCGCTGAACAGATATATTTGGCTTTCAGGCACAGACGAGTAGATCACTGGAGTGCACTAGAAGCTTGGACGTAGCTTAGATAGTTTTTCCCTTTCGGCCTGCGTGCCATGATCTAGTATTGATACTATTTGAGGATATTAGTTAGTTAGCCTGTGCACCTGAATTCTCTAGCTCAGGTGTGGCATAGCACCCCATACTCTCGTATTATGTTTTGAGATTTAATGATATTTCACCTTTATTTTATAAGTTTTAAATATCCTGAAAATCTGGGGTGTTACAGTTGGTATCAGAGCCTAAGTTTGACCCTAGGATAAGACTCTTAAGATCGAACTTTAGGACATTAGGCATGAACTCTAGGTACTTAGGAACATAAGATTTGGAAATCCTAGGACACGCGGTGAGATTGTGAAACCTACACACAACCCACCCACTTACTCCCTCTCTAAAAAGAAACTCCCCCCTTCACTTATTGCGTCCAGGTAAGGATACAAAATAACATCGACTTATGAACACGAGGATGACACCAAAAAAGGGACAAACAGGAACACCGAAACTCCCCAATCAGGAATTCTTGACACAGAATCTGCAACGCCTGGCCCAAATTGCCCAGGCACTGAGGACTACCATTCCCCAACCCTTACCAACAAACGAGAACTTGGAAATCCACCACCAAGTCTTGGCACATCAACCACCCACCTTCTCAGGGAACGAAGACCCCACAGCCCTCGAGGAATGGATCGGAACTTTTGACAAGATATTCAAGGCAACCAAATGCCCCGAAGACCACCAAGTAAGAATAGCCTCCTTCTACTTCAAGCACGAGGCCGATACCTGGTGGGACCACGAGGGACCCACATGTAAACATAACCATGAATTCAACTGGGAATCCCTAAAGGCACGACTACGAGGACGATTCTATCCCAATCATCTAAGGGCCACCTTGTACGAAGAATTCTTCCACCTAAGACAAGGTGCAACCTCGATCACGAAATACTACCAACAATTCCACCGACTGGCTCGCCTCATCCCCGAGCTAGTACCCATCAAGAGGATCAAGATCAAAAAGTTCATAACAGGCCTTGACCCCGAGTATCAAAAAGCCCTGGCCACACAAGAACTAGGAACCCTCGGGGAGGCCTATGCCAAGGCATCCCAACTACAACAAGTGCCAAACCAACCCCGGGAGACACGCCTGGGGTACAAAAGGAAATCCGAAGGAAATCATATGAACTCCAACCGCGGACCTAAAAACCCCAGGGCCACCTCACCTCAACAGGTCACAACACCAACCACTCAAGGGAGAATCCTTACTCTAAGCAAAGCCAGGATTGGAGATAGCAACATAGTCTCCGGAACCTTTCTGGTACACGCCACCCCCGCCACTATACTATTTGACTCGGGGGCTACCAACTCGTTTATAGCAACTGAATTTGCCACTCAGCTTGACCTCAACGCCAGCACCGAGGTCCGACTTCAGGTCAAGGTGGCCTCCGGCGAGATCTTGAAATGCAACCGCATGTACGAAAATGTAATGATTACCATACAAGGGGTGGATTTTCCCAGCAACCTTATCTGATTCAAACTAGATGTGGTACAGGTGATTTTGGGCATGGACTGGCTAGGGAAATACCAAGCGCAGATCCTATGCGGAGAACAAAAAGTGGTCCTACGGGGACCGAACAGTAAAGAGTGTCATACCGTGGGACCCACCGAGAAGCCGGGATCAAATTGGTAAACATGGTGAAAATGAAGAAATACCTAAACAAGGGAAGCGAGGCCTTCCTATGTACGGTCGAGGACCTCAACACCAAAATCCCCGAACCACAAACCATCCCAGTAGTAAACGAGTTCGCCGACGTCTTCCCGGACGAAATCCCAGGAGCAC